ACTGCTATTTTCAAATTTTTATTTTTTTTTGTCCAGCTTTAACATCGGTATCGGTTATTGGGTACATGAGTTTTAAAATATCGGCATATCAGATATCGGCCAAAATCCCAATATCGTGCATCCCTAATCATCATAGGTCTTACAGAAAAGACATTAAACAAAGCCAAGCAGGGAAATCTCAACTTTTCCTTCTGATCAGATAAAAAATTAAAAAAATTAAAAAGATATTAAACAGAAACATCAACAGAAGAAATTGTCTTTAAAAAAAATGTCCCATAGATAATTACTGCAGCAAAAAGCAATTAGTGAGAAATGAGTATTTTATCAATAGGGAGCATTAACCTTGACGGGGGGGAGACATATTTATTCTGTGAGCCTGACAGCAGAAAGTTTCTGCAAATCATTAAACACAATGTTCAATAATTCTAAGTCATATAAACAATATGTCCATTAATGTTGGAGAGGTAGATGCAGGTAAACAGATATCCTCCACTTGGACCTCCATAATTAGGTCAAGACATTTAAATTCTCCATATCTGAACCAACGAAGACTGTCTGATAACACTGACTGGTACCAGACCAGCTCACCTGCCGCTCTCTGAGCTCTGCTGCCACTGGAGTCAGGTGAATCTTCCACTCCCTCCGGGGGATGTAGCGCTCCCCCGACTTCTCAGACTGGTTGCTGCTGGAGTCAACCGGCACCGTGTCGGTGGGCTCCCCGGTTCCCGGCTCCAGGAACTGGTTGACGAAGGCGTCTATGTCGGACAGGAAGGACGGTGTCCTGGTGGTGTGGGGCCTTGGCTGCGGGGGTGGGTGAGGGACCTTGGGGCCCGGGGATACCGGCGTGTACAGATACAGGTGAGAGGCTCCCACATCATCCCAGTAGATGATGATGAGGAGGATCATAAAAGCCGAGCCCAGGGCCACAAAAATGTGGAACATCCTGGATGTTCCCATGGTGACAGCTGCTGGCTATAGAGTCACCATAGCAACAGACTTATGATTTTGCAGGGTGTCTACAGAGCATCGCCATGGCAGCTGATTAAAACAGATACCAAGGTCCTTTTCCTCTGCATCGATCGGAGGTTTGAGTCCACTACGAGGTTAAAAGGAAAACAGAAGCTCCTTCTGAGCGTGTTTATGGACCCGGTCGCTTCAGAAGCCTCTTTAGTTGGATCAGGCAAAGCATGACTGCGAGAGGCCGGAGAGAAATAGACAGAAGAAAAGCAAGATTTCATTTTTTTTTAGCTTTTTTTTTCAAACTTAAATGTATTGTATTTAAATGCAATTCTTGAAATATGATCTGTATATTTATACATATAGAGGAAAAGCCAGACTGGCTCTGTATGACAAATCAGTTATCCACCATCCCCGCCAAAAATCCTACAAAATTTAAATATATATATATATATATATATATATATATATATATATATATATATATATATATATATATATATATAACTCATTGGGTTCTGATGGAAAGTTTCAGCGAAGAGTGACACTTAATTTATGGCAAAGCATGAGCTTAATTTAGCATTTTTACCCCTTCCCGCTGCCAGCAGTGAAATCACAAATGCTTGTCAAATATTTTTAGATCTCAGCACAGCAAAGAGCAACACTTTGCAGCCACAGCAGTGTTTACTCAAAGTACCACGCCCTCCTCTGATAATAAAAGTGCCAGTGTGAACCACCTTTGAAGGAGGTCGCTTATAAAACGCTTCAGAGCCCGACCGCAGTGCCTGCTGTATGAGGGGGGAACACAGATGCTCACTGTGTGCACTAATCAGCTCGGAAGGCTCAGAGATGGATGCAGTGTCTGTCCTATCTAGAACTTCCCACAGCCACATTTCCTGGTTCTCAGGAATAATCGAGCTCCGGTCAACGCTTCTCTTTCCTGCTTGGATCAAATGTCAAGGCGCGTCATTTTATCTGTTTCAGCTAACATTTAAACATGGGATGTCATGGATCAGACTCCATGCGTCCCTAAGGGTAAGAGGAAACCACTGACATGGAAACATCTCTCAGGAGGCAGCAGACAGCTCTCCTCTTCCTCCCTACAGAAACCATATATATATGTTGCTCTATGTCAACACACATCATGTTGTATTTATCCTCGCCATCAGCAATAATAAACAGGGCATATCTAATGCAAAGTAAAGCAGATTTAAGTTAGAACTAGTAGTTAGCACATATTAATTTAGTCATGCATCAATTACTTGGTTTTAAAAACTCAATAATCATTTTTAGCCTCTATATGTATGAAGAAAATCCTTCTTTCATTTAGGGCTGCAACTAATGATTATTTTGCAAATGAATTAATCTGTCAATAATTTTTTCAATTAATTGATTAATAATCAGATAGCCAAAGGTTCCTTAAAGAAGATTTTTTACTAAATTATACCAGGTGAAACTACAACTTTTCCACTTGAGGAGTTCTGGATAAAGCACATTAACAGACGAAAAGGTTTTTTTATATCTTAAATGCTAAATATTTATATATTTCTTTACAATTTTTATATAATTACTGCTTTAATTGGGTTGTACTGTCACCTAAAGGCATGTCTTACAGTCTCTTTACTCCAGTTAATGATTAACTGATTGCTAAATTAGTTGACGATTATTTCAATAATCTAATAATTAATAATTTCAATAATCGATTAATCTGATTAATTGTCTCAGAACTACTTTCATTAATGCAATTGTTTTGAAAAGTAAAAAAATAAAGCTAAAAGTTGAGGACATATTTCTTGGTGCATAAAACGGAGTTAAATCTGTATTCCCTTTATTCTCCGTTTTATTCAACCACTTCCTCCTCCATTAAACCTGCAGCACATTTTTTTTATTTAATAGCCAATGTTGATTAAATTTTTCAACTAGAAAAATGTGTTTCCTGAGAAGATGGGTGTGAATGTTGTACGCTGAATCTGTAACCTAGCAGAAACATGCTGAAATGTTATGAATTTGCTAAACCAGATGCTTGGTGACTTTCCTAAAAAAATAGTCATGCAGATTTCCATAGCAATAAAACTTGTTGAAATCTATTAAATCTACACACAAAAAAACCCCAAAAAACTGCTTGTTCACATAATTAGCAGAAAGCAGAGATGCTGCATTCCTAAGAAAGTAGAATCAAGCTGAAGCATGTGTGTAAAATCCAATGAATAGAGCAGGGCAATCCCTATAATAACAGAAACAGAGGAAGACGTTGTGGAAAAACTATTTCAAAGAGCTGAGTTATGCAATAATAGCAGAGGGCTGTGAAAACGTTGAATAGCATCTGAAATAGGTAAGATGGAAAGAAAGATGACTTTTTAGCAGGATCTTTGAAGGGTTCCAATCATTTTAATGGGAGCAAAAAAAAATTAAAAGATTAAATAGAGTTTTAATAGCAAAAAACAATCCAGAAAGGACAGAATATAGCAGAAATTGAATGACTGAGACAGAAGAATGAAAGAAAGAAACACAATAATTAGTGTATATGCTACTATAAATATTCAGTTATATAGTAATTTATGTATTTTAATATACCTGGTATCAGATTAATTTATTTTTTGACCACAGTTTTCAAAAAGATTAAAGTTTTAGGTTGTGACAGTCAGCTTTAAATTGATTTAATTTGCCACCAGGTCGCAGCCTGATCAGCAGCCTGACCAGCAGCCTGGGCTGGCCGCTCCGCTGCCATAAATCCCTCCGTCCTGTCCGCAGCAGCCAGACAGCCGGACACAAAGCAGCCTTTGATGGGGAAGCAGCGGGCTGCCTCATACCCGGAGCTCACAGAGTCCCAACCGGCGCGGTGTTCGCCTTTCTATCGTTTCAGATAGATTTAGGTCCAAATTTATGGCAGATGTGGCAGGTAAAAATAGCGAGTTTCTCATCTAACGGTCGGTTTACCACGACCACAGCCTAACGGTGTCTAACAAATGCAAAGCGCTGAGGCAAAATTACTACCCAGAGGCGATGCGCACCAACATAGCAGGTTATAAACTTTGTGAAATAGGAGAAAAAGACATTTAAAATCGAGCGTCTTCACCTTTTTTTCCAGCTCCGCTCCTCTTGTTGGATCAGCTGAGTCCGCGCTCTGTAACAGTCGCTGCTTTTCCCCTGGGAGATGGAGCGGGATCTCGGAGCAAAACACCGCGAGACCTCACATCCATGAGGTTTGTGCAACATGAGCTCATGAGAGGAAAATAAATTCACTTTTCTAGGTCAGCTTCAACATGACATTTCTCTCATTTTGGGATGATTCATCCCACGGTAACGTTAGGTGGAAAATAACCTTCAAAAATGACTAAGCCATTAAATATCATTTTTTAACAAAAGCCCAACAATGACCACAAAAAACAGTGGTTAAGTATTACTTCATATTACCATCATGTTGTAGACCATAGCTTATTCATGTTGTGACCTATAATCAGTCTGCAATCACAGAATTTCACACAGAGACTGTTCTGTAAAACAAAGTAATGACTTTAATAGGAACTTACCCTTTTTTTGCTGTACATACACCTCATACTTAGTACCTTATACATACATCTTAGGTGCCCCATTGGGATTGTTTTCCAACACATTTATTTATGCTTATGAAATTAGCTTTTTTCTAAAACAAGTTCATCAAATCTCCACTGACCTGTACATTAATGTATAAAAATAAGGACACCATATAAATATTCAGAACCTTATTACAAAATATAAACATAGCAAAGTATACACCTTTTTTAGTACATATCTACACTCCTCAAAAAAATTAAAGGAACACTTTTAATCATAGTATAGCATCAAGTTAATTAAACTTCTGGGATGTCTTGGAATTCTTGGAATTCAGCCCTCGCCAGGTTGATCATTTTCATTTACATAAAATGATGTTGCATCCTTTTGTTCCTAACACATCACCCAGTTCTTATCATTATAAATACATAAACAGCATGATTTTTCCCCCATTGAGATCTGATGTGTTTTTAAAGTGTTCCTTAAATTTTTTTTAACAGTGTATTTATATTCCACTCATCATACTGTACTTAATATATAAATGAATAAAGATTTTCTGGATGAGGAAAAATAAAGAACAATACCTCCCAACAGCTAGTTACCCCAACATCTTGAGTGAGAAGAGCTTTTCCTTCAACTTTCTTCATGTGTGTCCTGTTTTACCTATATAGCTCTGGAAATAGATGTCCCTAATTTTTCAATACCCTCTCCCTCTGAATTAATTAACTTAAAGTTAATTAAACTTGTTTTTATCCAATAATCACACACACAAAAACATAAACTCACCGGCCCCTTTAT